TAATTTCATTCCCTGTGACCAGGACTGGTCCGCCCCTCCCTTGCTGCCGGAGCCCATGCACTCATCCCGGCGACCTGGAGACTAATGACGAAGGTGGAAAAGTCTGCTGTAACCTCACTCGGAGCCCACCAATAGAAGCTATTCCATATTTTCTTAAATATTGTCAGTTTGGCGTCGCGAGAAGTGGGGTGGGTGTTTGACAAGCGTTGCCAAGACTGGGAAACTTGCTCACTCTTTCGCGGTGCGGGCGAGTAGAAACTGCCTCACTTAATTAGCTCCGAATAAATATATTGAACTTGCATGTTGTTGGCCGGGTGGGGGTCTGGGCTTCGAGACTTTTTGGAGGATATATATTAATCTCCAAGAACAACGCTTTATTCCCCGTTTTTCTTGAAAACTGAGGTTGCCTTGGTCTATCATTGCAAGTGCTGCCCTCTCTCATCTGGGCTCTTACATCCATAGTAAGAGTCCTTCGCACCAGATTCGCTTGACCTGGAAACCCTCCCCATCATGGCTCCTCTTGCCGTCATCATCGCCGCTGCCCTCGGCCTACACGCCATACCATCCTCCGCCCACGAGGTGGACGGACGGGAGGGCTACGGCTTCATCGGCTACGGCATCTCAATGTACAGCCCCCCCTGCGCCTACGCATGCCGCGCCTCCGTCCCTAATCCCCTTGAGTGTCCCCACGACCACGGTCACATGGACGGCAGCGAGGGTGGCTCACACTCCAGTGAGACGTCGCCGGAATGCTACGCGACCAACGAGCACTTCCTCCGAACGGTGGCCTGGTGCATCCATTCTCGGTGCGAGAACGTGACCATGGCGGATATTGAGAAGTATTGGGAGCTGAACATCCCGGGACGCGGCCGGGTGCAGCCGCTTCCGAGGCTGTCGTTCCAGGAGGCGTTGTCGGAGGTGTCTAGTCCGCCAACCGAGCCGGCGGCGCCAGAGGAGATACTGAACTTCACGGCTGTGGTCCCGGATGAGACATACCTAGGCCAGTACGACACACTGACAAATTTCGAGGAGGCGGAGGTCTCTCATTCGCGCTATGGGTGAGTGGAAAATCAATCCCCAGACCAAGATACGTATCTCTGCCCTGTATATACTAATCCCCCGGACCCTCCAGCCTAGTAGTATTCCTCAGCGGCATCGTCATCCCAATCGGCTTCTCCCTCCTCCGCCTCCTCCCCTTCCCCAAACCCTGGATAAGCACCTTCTACGCCTCCGTAATCGACCCACCCGCCATCGGAACCCGCCACGCCATCCCCGCGATGGGCCTCGCCGTCATCCCCACCCGTGGCCAGGCCCTATTCCTCCTATACCTCGTCACGATCAACGTCGTGCTCTCCGCCGTGTCCATCCGGACAAACGCCAGGAACCTCTGGTTCTCCACACCGTCCTGGCAGGTCCTAGCCTACCTGTCCAACCGCGTGGGCGTCCTCAGCCTCGCAAATCTTGCGCTTACGATCCTGTACGGTGGGAGGAACAACGTTCTCCTGAGACTCACAAACTGGTCGCACACGACCTTCCTGCTAGTCCACAGGTGGGCTGGATTCCTCTGTATGCTTCAGGCCGTACTCCACTCCCTTATTTACCTAGCGAAGTACGTCGTCGAGGGAACTCACGGGGAGGAGAGCAAGCTCCCGTACTGGTACACCGGCATCGTCGGTACCCTAGCCGTAAGCCTCACGGTCCCCCTCGCCATCCTTCCCATTCGCCGCAGGGCTTACGAGATATTCGTCGACACCCACCTCCTGTTCGCCGTAGCGGCCATCCTAGGATGCTGGTACCACATCGTCTACCGCTTCGGCCACCAGTGGGGCTACGAGACCTGGATATACACGGCCATCGCCGTCCTGTCCTTTGACCACATGGCCCGTGTTCTTCGCGTGCTCCGGACGGGCGTGAAGAGGGCGCATGTAACCGCCATAGACAGAGAGTACTACCGGATCGAGATACCCGGGGTCGACGCTCGCGGGCATGTATATGTTTTCTTCCCCACGCTGAGCTGGCGGCCCTGGGAGAACCACCCGTTCTCCGTCGCGGCGTCAACTGTCTCTGGCGACGAATCTCCTGCGCTCCCGGTCCCGAATGGCTCCCCTGTCTTGGTGGGCGAAAATGACAAGGAAATCGCTACTGTATCCTCCTCACCGCCATCCTCCATATCTTCAGGGCGTAGAGTGGCCGGAATAACACTCTACATGCGCGCCCAGGGGGGATGCACCTCCCACATCGCCGCCCAGGCGGGGAGAGGAGGTATCCCCGTATTAGTCGAAGGGTCTTACGGTGGGGAGGCAGACGCATTCTTCACGCAGGTTCGCCAGACGCGCGAGTACCCGAATATCCTCTGCATAGCCGGGGGCGTGGGTATCAGCGCTATCCTACCCGTCCTCCAGGGAGCACAGTCCATAACCCCTGGATCTGGCTTTGTGAAGTTGTACTGGGCATCTAGGAGCCGGGCCCTGGTGGAGGCTGTGTCGTCAACGATGAACCCCGTGGTTGATGTAGCTGTAGGGGAGATGAGGTGGGGGGACGCAGTCGTTTCCGTGTCAATTGGGGAGAGGATGGCCCTCCGGGAGATACTCGAGTCAGAATTAAGTCATGAGAAGGGTGGTACGACGGTTGTTGTTTGCGGGCCAGGGAGTATGGCTGATGAGGTGAGGTGTACCGTGGCTGCTATTGGGAGACATGGCAATGTTGTAGTGAGACTTGTTGAAAAGAGCTTCCATTGGTAGGAGGTAATTATTATAGCTTCTAGGTTCAGTATATTCCTGGTACTTGGTTTCTCCAAGAATCTAGTCTTTGGAGAAATTTTGGACAAGTAATATATATTACCCATTGTTTTATAGATGCAAAGAGTAAGGCCAATATTTGTAGAACCTCCCAGCAATTATTATCCAAGGTAAGGCATTATTAAATCTTCCTACGGGGGGAGATATGACCGGAGTTAGATGACCAGAGCTTTGATTACCAGTAGGTGAACACCATTATCTTTGCACCGCTATCAGGTGACAGGCACCCTTGCATGGAAATCACTTCAACAACTTCGCCCGAGTTCTCGTTTCTGTATGGAGCGGTTGGTCTGACGATACTAGTAAAGACGAACCACGTTTCTAAAAATTGCAAGCCCGAAGGAGGTCCACCATATAACCTCCAGCCCCGCTATAGGATCTATCCCGCGTAGGATGCCTCCCAGAACATATGTACGGGTCGGTCCACGGCGTAGGACCGGCAAGCTATAAAGACAGTCACTATAGACACCGATAGGTGGAATAACTACGGCGGAGCACTCGATGGGACGGAAAGACCGGTGGGAGTACGATATGGTTGAATGGGAGCATTCTATCTACGGTGATGCTGCCGGATATTTGCAGACGCGGAAGGAAGAAAGTAGTGAAATGTTGGATCCCTTTAAAGGTTGGTTCGGACATTTCGGAGTGGGGCATTCAGGGGACGAGCTGGTTAAGGCCGCATAGGCGAACGGCCTAGGCGAATGGTTCTTAATGCCCCGATCCCTCGATGCTAGGCGCGAGAGTTAATTCCCGGTTGTAATACCGCGGCAAAAATCAAATATTAGAGTGGTCACGAAAATAGATAAGACTCGCCGCTGAGACTGGTTCGCATCGAACACGAGGAGTCCGGACTTTAGCCTCAAGGTTATTCCGTCAGCCCATTCCATACGCCGCGCTCTATATACAATTTATATCTCATATCTCGTATTGATGGGGAGTAAAAATCAATATCCACGAAGCGCCGACTTGTGGATGTGCGGCTGCGAGGGCGGTTGGTTTTCTCGTGAGTAGTGGTGTCCCCGGTATTTAAGGCATAAGAACCCGAGAGCTCGGGCATGTTCCTGGCTTTTATAAATCGTAGTTATCTACTCACCCCTGTCTTAAGAAACGGCGCTTCTAACGGCACTCCCAAGCCCTGTCTTCCTCTCCTCAACGCAGACGCCATGAAGTGGTATACCCTCGGCGCGGCCGCCCTGCTATGCCTATCCGGTGCCTCATGCTCTCCCGGCCCCCCCGGCCCTGCCATTCACGCGCGATACGACTATGACCCCTTCCTAGAGCCGGGCCTCGCACCTCGCCAAGCGAGCGAGCAATGTGGTGCCGAAAACAACGGACAGCGCTGCCGCGGGCAAGCCTGCTGCTCCATGTATGGCTGGTGTGGGGAGGGGCCCCGGTACTGCAACCGCTTCAGCTGCCAGATCGAATACGGCTGGTGCGAAGGGCAGCCCATCCCCACCCCCGAGCCCGAGCCCGAGCCCACTCCTGAACCTACACCGGAGCCCGAGCCCGAACCCGAGCCCACGCCCGAGCCCACTCCAGAGCCCGAACCCACTACGGAGGAACCGGGTGCCGAAGAAACTTCCGCGCCTATACCCCCCGAGTTTACGATCTCCAATTCAGGCCTCTGCGGGAACACAACCACATGCGCCGGATCCACCTTTGGGAGATGCTGCTCCGAGTTCTACTGGTGCGGCAGCGACGAGACATACTGCGGCGAGGGATGCCGGGAGGAATTCGGAGGCTGCGGAGCCGAGGAGCCGCCGGTCCCAGAGCTCGTCGTCACCACGAACGGCATGTGTGGGAACGGGACGACGTGCGCCGGGTCGGACTTCGGGGGCTGCTGCTCACATTACTTCTATTGCGGGAGCGGGACGGAGTACTGCGGCGGGGAGTGTCGCCCCGAATTTGGGGAGTGCGAAACGACGGATTGAGCAGGGTAGCTTTGCATACATGTATTGTTGTATCCACGCAAGAAGAAAGGGTAGCGCTGTATTATTTATTACCTTGGTATATAAGCCCGTCTTATCCGTCAATTTTTGCTCTTCATGATGACTTTCGCCCTTGTTATTAAGTCCACTTTTTTTGTTGGTTGATTTGGGCTGGTGGACCCCTGCACTGGCCACTCAGAATTCAGCCGAAGTTTCGCCATGGTGCTGTAGTCTTCCAACGCTATTTAAGGGTACTCGGACATAAGCCAAACACGCCCTCCTGGCCTAATGGCTAAGGCGCGAGACTTCTAATCTCGAGATTGTCGGTTCGAGTCCGGCGGGGGGCTCTTAGCAACGCACAACTTTTTGCACATCTCTGTGCACGATAAGATGCTATATATTGCCGTGAGCGGCTATATAGTATATGTCGTCAGCGGCTAATACTATGAACACTCTATTTCCTGTCCTACGCGCAGTTGGTGTTATTGGCAATATTTTTGCTTCAAATTGAGGGACTAGTAAGAGTTTTCTAACTGTTCTCGGATGCAAGATGGCGCAAACAATGATGGATTACCTGCCATGCGACCAAACCAACCCATCCAAAGCAAGCGGCCCATGTAATACAAACCGCCAGATCTGGACACCAGCAGTGCCGGTAGACAAATCCGTCTTTCCCTGCATAGCGCGGATACAGGGAGGTAGGACCTCGACGGATTTGAAAACCAGGTTCACACGTTTTCCATATTAAGTGGGTTGTCTAAAGCTCCATATCGAATGACTTAGCCGTAATAGAAGCATATGCAGGGGACTGAAGGGCTAGAGCGATCCACCGGTCCGTGGGTGGGGGCGAATACAGATGCACAGGGATCAGGGAGAAGGGAATAATAGATTGCAACTATGCACGTTTTGTCCCCTTGACCTCGAGTCATGGATTCTTGGGAACGTCTAAGTCGTCAATGGAACACGACTAGCATTTTCTGGTAAAGTTCGGACTTATGCACCACCCTCAGCCAGAGTGGGCCTTGATATTGAGACTATACTAATTTACTAATTCACGTGGTAGTCAGCATTTGGTAGTAGTAACTTGCGGTGTCTTGCAAGTTGGCCTGCAAGCCAGGAAGTCCCAACTTTGCCAGCAGATTAGAGAATAGGTTCAAGTCTACATCTCCGTCTCCCCCACGCCTTACCTGTATTATCACCGACCGGATATCCCTGGCCTGATATCTACTTGGCCCTTTCCATACAGAGTAAGTACATAGGTACAAAATACTCCGGTGGCGGTTGGAAAACTTTTGCATCGCCAAGTGCTCGGAAGATTCATAGAGCGAGAGGGTGAGATGGATGGGCACGCGAGGGCCAACACGTGCCTATTCCAAGGGTTCAAGGGATCGAGGGTGTGGACCAGCGAACGTTACAGCTAAGGCAATATTTCCGACGGAGCGGAATCTTAATCGGGTAAGCAATCTTATGGCTCTACTACTTGTATGATGCAGGAGCGAGGAAGAAGAGGCAGAGTTGAAGCTAGCCAGTAGGGGCAGGTGAACGCCGTGCCAAGAATAGATGTCAACAAGTACGGTTCGGCAGGTGCCCGGGCCATTCCGGCAGACGAGGACGACCAGGAGAATACGAGTCCGTGCTTACTCGTTTGTACACGCTTCAAACTCGAGACGGCTCGTCCTCGCCAGTCGGACATAGAGAAGGGTACCAGGACCCTGCTTCCTCCGCCAGTAGTGTCTCCTTAGCTCAACCTTGGACTCTATCCTTTTTTTTCCCCCATTATTCAAAAGCTTCCTTTGGAATGGTATAGCCCGCCGCAGCTGGAGGCTTGGCCCTGTCCCTCGGTGTCCTACCCGGGATCTGGGACGTAGTCTGTCGCAGAGTGGGGTTACCGCTCGAACACACGTGCTCCCCGGTCGGGCTCGAGGTTGGCTGTGAGTCAAGAGTCGCCAAGCCTCACCTTCTCCGTTGTGGGTGCGATTGGGGCTGGTGGCCGGTCACTAGTCAGGAGCCCCGTCAGAATTAGGCTCACTTCTATTACCTCTACTCTGCACTTGTACGAGTATTAGGTTGTGTGGCGCCAGGACCTAGGAAGGTAATAACCCATATCCTTGGATTTTAACATGTGGGTAATGAGACCTGGAGAGGCAGAGGGCCTATCACAAGGCGAACCGGGGACGGGAAGGTGCGAGGATGGGGTCGGTGGTTCAAGCTTGTCGTGATGTGTGGACCAAATAGGCAAGAACGTGATGGAATGGAGCGCTCTGATTGGCCCGCCACCAACGACCCCCCTTCCCTCCAGTTCCACCTCTCGGTCACCATTTTAGTCCAAGTATTGCATCTGTATCAAAAATGATAACGAGCCCGTCCAATGCCCCTCTGAATGCAGTAGTCTATCCGCTACCTAATCGGTCTATGTGTCCCCCCACATGGACCACCACCGATCCAGCAGGAGCAGCTCTTGAGAGCACATGGGGCTACCAGTGTCAAGCGCCAAGCAACTAGAAATGGTCATACCCGCATCTCCCCATCCTGGCCCATCTGGCCACCGATGCCATCCCTGGCCGGGGGCAAGCGCTTCATGCGTAGGCTTCCCTGGATGAGGCGCAACATCTTGGCGCAACCTCTTGGCGCGGCAGACTCTTACTGCTTTTGGGGCGTCCGTCCCCCCCTCTCCCGGGATGCTCGACAGGTTTATATTGCGGCCGATCCTCTTCGCCCCATGTCCATTAGTTCCAGAAACCCGTCTCTCATCCCGCCCGTTAATAACCGCCTCGCGACAGAGCAACGGATACCTCGAGCGCCGCCACGATGCCGCTTCACCAATACGACTACATCTTCGCCCTCGGCACCATCTTCGCGTTCTTGGACGCGTGGAACATTGGTATGGGCGACCCCCGTGGACTCCCAGAATATCCTCTCGCTCTCGGATGCCCCGCGATGCTAACGACCCCGCTGTACAGGTGCCAACGATGTCGCCAACTCGTGGGCGACTTCGGTCTCGTCCCGATCCGTCGGGTACATCCAGGCCATGAGTCTCGCCTCCGTCCTCGAGTTCTCCGGTTCCATCGGCGTCGGCGCTCGAGTCGCCGACACTATCCGCACGAAGGTGGTCGATATTTCTCTCTTTGAGGACAACGCCCCGCTTCTCATGCTCGGTATGCTCTGCGCTGTTACGGCATCCTCGATCTACCTCACCATGGCCACGAGGATTGGTCTTCCCGTCTCCACCACGCATTCCATTATGGGCGGTGTTATCGGAATGGGCATCGCGCTAGTGGGCGCCGACAACATCCACTGGGTCGATGAGAAGGGCGGCATCAACTCGGGTGTCATCCAGGTGTTCCTCGCCTGGATCATCGCTCCCGGCCTGTCGGGTGCCTTCGGTGCCATCATCTTCCTCATTACCAAGTACGGTGTGATGCTTCGTAGCAACCCTGTCATGCGCGGTCTGTTCTACGTCCCCGTCTACTTCGGCATCACCGCCTCGCTCCTTACCATGTTACTCGCCTGGAAGGGTGGCAAGATCAAGATCGCCCTCAGCACGGCGGAGACCGTGGGTGTCATCGTCGGTGTAGGCGCCGCCTTCGCCCTCGTCATCACCATCTTCTTGGTCCCCTGGCTGTACCGCATCGTTGTCAAAGACGACTGGGAGCTCCGCATCTGGCACATCCCCCTCGGCCCGCTCCTGCTCCGCCGTCCCCCTCCTCCTGTACAGCCTGAGGGTTCTTCCCGTGGAATCACCGACTTCTATGCCGGGCACCTGACGCAGGAGGAGCTGGACGCCCTCCGTGCCACGCGCCGCCCCAGCGCCGATGTCGAGGGCCGCATTACCGAGGGCGAGACTGAGCCCAAGGATAAGGTGACCTCCGACGCCGGCTCCGAGGAGCCCTCGCCGCGTCCCGCCCCCGAGCACAAGTCCATCGTTGGTCCCAAGCCCGAGGGGCCCTGGTACTCTGGTGCTGCCCTATTCTGGAGGTTCAAGTGGGTCTTCCTCCGCGGTGTCGACCAGGACATCGTGAAGGCGCAGAACAAGGAATCCCTGCTCTCTGGTGACCTCGACGCCATGCACGCCCACGCCAAGCACTATGACAACCGCGCCGAGTACCTCTACTCGTTCCTCCAGGTGCTGACCGCCAGTACTGCCTCCTTCGCCCACGGCGCTAACGATGTCGCCAACGCTATCGGGCCATACGCTACCATTTTCCAGATTTGGAACACTGGCGAGATGGGTGCGAAGTCATCTGATGTGCCCGTCTGGATCCTGTAAGTCATCTATAATTCCACCCCCTTTTCTTTCACCCTCACATCCGTCGCAATAAACTGACATGTGACCATCCAATAGCGCCTTCGGTGGTGTTGCTATAGCTATCGGTGTCTGGACCTACGGGTACAACATCATGCGCAACTTGGGCAACCGTCTCACTCTTCACTCCCCTTCCCGTGGTTTCTCCATGGAGCTGGGCTCCGTCATTACCATCATTCTTGCTACCCGTCTCAGTGAGTAAACCCCTATACGAACCCCGCCTTTACGCATAGGCGGAAAAGTTGCTAACAGAATCCTCTCCCCAGAGCTCCCCGTCTCCACGACGCAGTGCATCACCGGTGCCACCGTCGGTGTCGGTCTCTGCTCCGGCACCTGGCGCACTATCAACTGGCGCATGGTTGCCTGGATCTACATGGGCTGGATCCTGACTCTCCCCATTGCTGGTATCATGTCTGGATGTCTTTGCGGCATCATTGTCAACGCTCCTCGCTGGGGCTTCAACGCTTAAGACGGTGCGATCGGGGGTGTGAGATAATAATATGGTGATTGATTGCGGGTACGAGTGTTGTCTCTTACCTCCGAATTTCCGTTGGATATGAGCAAAGTGTGTGCATAGCAAAGATACCTACGGCCTGACCGAATACAGGTTTTCCCTTTCCCTCAGTCGGAGAAACACCCAACTTGTTTCCAATCCTTTCTACTTCAAACTTTCTTCTTCTTTACTTTTCCTTTTAGTCTCTGGGGGTTGGGGTTCGCGGAAGCATCGATACGATATCCATGTCCTTCTGTTTGTATAGCGGGATGGAGATAACAATAACAAGATATCTACTTGTACGGCTGAGGGTTCTTGTTCCGAATTTGACGATGCTCGATGGTTAAATTGGCTTTGATTTCTCGGGCAGTGTTTGATAGAACTTGTAACTCTAAACACTCAGTTGCACTACATATCCCATGGACTAGTTCATCATCCATGCTACCCTACCTACCACTTCCCACTACCTCGACGATCCTCCACGCCCTCTCTCCATCTTGGACTACTTCATCCACCACCAGATTTGCCACATCTCCGGCGAGTGCGTGGAC